AGAAAGAGAGAAAGAGAGAAAGAGAGAAAGAGAGAAAGAGAGAAAGAAAGAAAATGTATGTATTGCCATGTTGTCCAGACAGGTCTTGAACTTCTGGGCTCAAGGGATCCAACCACCTTGACCTCCAAAGTGCTGGGATTACAGGCAAGAACCACCATGTCTGGCCTAACCTTTGTATTCTAAAGGAATGTCTTTGGACCACATATTTAAAATGCTTGTTATCATGAGGTATTGGAGGTGGGTAATAATTTCTGCTCCAAAGAAACAGATAAGTGTCATTCGAATATCACTATTCCAGTTACTTGAAAAAAATAAAATTTGTGACTAGAATGTGAATATATCTGTGCTTTCATTTGGGCCATCTATATTTTATACTTTTGGTTTTGTTCATTTTTGTCTTTTCTATTTTACAGAAATGGAATTTTAAAAACTATCCATTCTGCACAATTGCTTACATTTTGTCTCACCAATACTTTATGGAAATCCCTTCAATGCAACTGGTATAACCTCATTTCATTCTCATTAATGGATACATAATATTCTATTACTGGACAACCACTTTGTCACCAGGCTTTTATTATTTTGCTCTGGGATTTTGTTTTTCTGTTTGCTACTATGAACAATTTCTCAATGTGTTTTCCAACTATCCGATCTCTGGAAACAAAAAAATTTAAAAAGGAGACTTCTTGGTCAAAGAGCATATAAATGTTAAATTTTAATAAAGGCTGCCAGCTAGTCTTCCAAAATAATTTAAAATTATACACATTTCTATCAACAAAAAATGCTGAAAATAATTGGAAAGGCTCTAGAAGGAGCACCAAACTTGACCACTGTCATGGGGATAGGGGGTGGGAGGGGAGAAAATTAAAATTTAAAAAAAGAATAGTTAAGCCTGTTACAGCTATTCAACTAACAAAATACAAATTATACTAAAGGTTGTAAATATGAAGACTGCACAAATACATGCCGTTCCCAGAGAAGGCAACAGTAGCTTCCCCATGTGCAATGCTGCGGGCTCTTGCACTTCTGCTGGCTTGGTGGAGGTGAGCACCGTGGCCCAGGAGGCCTCCCTCACATTGATGGGGAGTCCGGATGCTACACAGCCCAAGCATGGAAAGCCTGTGCCCTGTTGCTGCTTGGAGGAGAGATACCTGCTGATCAGAAATATTCATTTTTGATCTGATGCGAGCAAGACATTACCTCAGACGCTACTGATACTTAGGTATTTGCAAAAAGGAAAGGAGGGAAGGGGGGAAGGAAGGAAGGAAAGAAGGAAGGAAGGAAGGAACTCAAAGAAAGGGAAAGAATAGAGATGTGCGAATGACAGCAAATTTGGTTTCAAAGTACAATAAAAGTCAACTTTGAATAATTGGTTTTCTACAGCTATTCAACATCAGTGGTGTTTACATAAGAGTAGTTTCCTCCACAGTCTTTAGCAACTCATGAATCACCGACCTTATCCTCACTTAGAGACAGCTATGGGGACAAATGAAATGAACATGCCACGGGAGTGAACGGACCTGAACTCCCCTCCTGACTTGTTCAAGGACTCCCACGGGCCAAGTGCTCACAGTTCAACCTTTATCCTCGCCATGAGAGCTTCTGGGAGCCAGCAGAATATCATTTCCAGGTGTGAGGGCGCTACTCACTATCTTTGCTTACCCCCAATATTCAGATATTACCAAGATCCCCATCATTATCAGACACATTTCACATGACCTGTCCTGATAAACTTGAACAGAACGTGCGTGCGTGTTGGCGAATGTTGTGCATGTTGGAGATGCGTGAACCAGGCGGCGGGAAGGCCTGGGTTCCAGGCCCAGCTCTCTAAATAAACAACTCTGAAGCCTGAACAGAGCTCCTCAAACTCCCCATGGCTAACTCTCATCTCTAAAATAAACATTAAGGATATTATGGGCTACCTACCTCACAGGGTTGTTGTGAAGGGCAAAGTGAGATCACAGTCTTAAAGTGAGATGCAAGGTATTGTATTTATTTCTAGAACTGGCAGAAATACAAAACTTACTGACTTCCCAGAATTGAGGAAGTTGCCTGAATACTGTTTCATAGAACTTTTATCCCAAGGATTTAGAAGATCCCTCAAACTGTTTCTTGCTTAGCCTGAATGAGCCTGCCGATGGTCCATCTCTTCAGCTAATGAGGCATTGACATAAATCTAGGGCCACAACTTCAAGCTGTTATAAATTCCTATTCTCATCTTTACTACAGATCCACCAAGACACTGGATCAGAATATTCAATAGTTATCACATGAATGAGTCTTCTGCAAACCATTTCCTATTCTTATTGACTGTCCAGTAAGCTTCATGCACTTATCAGAGGATGTTTCAACACTGGAATGACACATCCCTTTCCCTGGACCATCTTGTAGCTGCTTAATGTCATTTTTCTCTATCGTGTTTTTTTGGCCTCTACTCTAACACAATGTCCCCAAATCCTAAAAACGTCACCGAGAGGCCAGATTTGGAAGGATGCTTACAAGGGAATGCAGGAAGTTCAAATTTGGCCTGCTATTAAGTGTATTTAGAGGAACACCGGTTCATGGTCACATTCCGTACATCTGCTTGATATATTAACTTGCATTTGGGAGTCCAAAATTTCATCTGTAGCTGCTTCCTGTTTCCATTTTTCAAGGAACCACTCAGATCTCTCCACAACTGCGTGATCGGCTTGAACTGGATAAAGCTGGCCAGTAAGTCTCTCCATTTTGTGAAGATTGGAAGACGGTACTTATTCACCTTAAGTACCTGCAAGATTCTGACCGATGGACAGGAAAGCAGATGAGTTCTGAGTGTGGCAAAGCTCCCCTTAGGGTTTTATGTCCTGGATAGGATGATTAGAACACTGAATGTGGGGCTGATTCTCACAGAGCCTTTGTCAGTAAAAATAGCTTCATAATGGTCAGGCCTGGAGCTGCTTGATGCTCTCTATGGGAATTTCAAAAGGGCATAGTTGGATGCCTGAACTTGGTGCTATTCCATGATGATTAAGAGTAAGAAGAATTGAAAATTCTAAGAAAGCTGAAAGATGACAGAGGGAGGAGGAAAGAGAAAGAAAAAGGGCAGGAGGGAGAGTCAGCACATCTTAGAACTCCTTGAGGCTAGAAATTTTGATGTTTACTTGTTTGATCTGAAGGTCAGAATTACACACATCAAAGAGGTGGTGTGTGAGGCTCGGATGCAATTGGAGCAATGTTCAGTTACTTTTTAAAAGCAGTAAGTAAATGGTTAAGAGCACAGGCACTGAAGCCAGGCTGCCTGAGTTTTAGTCAAACTCAGTCCCTAATTCACATGGTGACCTTAAGCAGATTACTTAAGCTCTGTGCCTCAGTTTCCTTCTCTTTAAGATGAGGATAATCAGCATGCTTATTTCCTAGAAGATTAAACTAATTAATGCATATAAAATGCTTAGAACACTGGCCGTCACACACAGAGAGAGCTATGTGCATGTTTATACCTCTTACCACAATCACTTTAAAACCACAGGACATACCATCTTATGCCAGTCAGAATGGCTCTTGTTAAAGAGTTGAAAAATAACAGGTGTTGGTGAGAATGCTGTGAAAAGGGAATGCTTACACACTGTTGGTGTAAATGTAAATTAGTAAACCTCTAGGGAAAATAGTATGGAGATTTCTCAAAGAAAAAAAAATAGAACCACCACTCAATCCAGCAGTCCCTCTACTAAGTATCTACCCAAAGGAACAGAAATCATTAAATGAAAAAGGCACCTGCACCCATATGATTATTTGTGATAGTAAAGATATAGAATCAACCTAAGTACGGAACAACAGATGATTAAATAAAATGTCATATATATACCATGGAATACTACTCAGCTGTAAAAAAGAATGAAATCACAACTTTTGCAGCAACATAGATAGAGCTGAGGCCATTATCTTAAGTGAAATGACTCAGAAACAGAAGGTCAAAAACTACATCTTCTCACTTATAAGTAGGAACTAAAAAATGGCTACACATAGACATAGAATGAGAAAACAATGAACACTGGAGACTCAGAAAGGTGGGAGGGGGTTAGGTATGAGACATGACCTAATTGACACAATGTACAATGTTCAGGTGATGATTACGCTAAAAGCCAGACTTCACTATTATGCAATATATTCACGTAACAAAACTGCACTTGTTTTAAATCTATAAAAACAAAAGTAAAATAAAATGTCTGCTACACAAAGCAATTAATAGATTCAATGAAATCCCTGTCAAAATACCAATGACATTCTTCACAGAAATAGAAAAAACAATTCTAAAATTTGTATAGAACCACTAAAGACACTGAATATACTGAGCAATTTTGAGCAAAAAAGAACAAAGCTGAAGGCATCACACTATCTGACTTCAAAATATGCTACAAAGCTATAATAACCAAAACAACATGGTCCTGGCATACAAACAGACACATAGACCACTGGAAAAGAATAGAGGGCCTCAAAATAAATCCACACATCTACAGACAACTGATTTTTGACAAAGGGGCCAAGAACACACATTGGAGAAAGGACAACCTCTTCAATCAATGGTGATGGGGAAAATGAAAATCCACATGCAGAAGAATTAAACTAGAACCTTATCTCCCGCCATACAAAAAAAAAAAACCTTAAAATGTATTAAAAACTTAAATGTGAGACCCAAAACTGTAAAACTACTAGAAGAAAACATAGGGGAATCACTACATGACATTGGTCTAGGCAAGGATTTTTTTGGATAAGACCTCAAAAGCACAGGCAACAAAAGCAAAATTAGACAGATGGGATTATATCAAAATAAGAGGCCTCCTGACAGCAAAGAAAACAATCAACAGAGTGAACAGAAACCTACAGAATGAGAGAAAATATCTGCAAACCAGACATCTGACAAGGAGTCAATAACCAAAATATACAAGGAACAAAAACAACTCAAAAGCAAAAAAATAAATAATCCATTTTAAAAACAGGGAAAAGATCTGCAGAGACATTTTTCAAAAGAAGCATACAAATGGCAAGGAGGTATATGAAAAAATGTTCACCATTGATCACCAGAGAAATGCAAACAGAGACCTCAATAAAATACTATCTCATCCCAGTTAGAATGACTATTATCAAAAAGACAAAAAATAGCAAGTGCTGGCAAGGATATGAAGAAAAGGGAACCCCTGCACACTGTTGGTGGGAATGCAAATTAGTACAGCCATTATGGAAAACTGTATGGAGGTTCCTCAAAAAATTAACAATAGAACTATCATATGATTCAGCAATCCCATTACTGGATACACATCCAAAGGAAATTTAATTAGTATGTGGAAGAGATGTCTACACTCCCATATTTACTGTGGCACTATTCACAATAGCAGAGATATGTAATCAACCCAAGTATTCATTACTGGATGGATGAAAGAATAAAGAAAATGTGGTATATAAACACATGGAATACTATTTAGCCGTAAGAAAGAATAAAATCCTGTCATTGGAGACAACACGGATGAGCCTGAAGATATTATGTTCAGTGAAATAAGCCAGACACAGAACGACCAATGCTGCATGATCTCACTCAGCTGTGGAATCTAAAACGTTGGTCTCATAGAAGTGAACAGAAAAGTGGTTACCAGAGGCTGGGGAAGGAGGGGGGAGTGGGCGATGGAGACAGGCTAGTACAAAGTTATAGCTAGATAAGAGAAGTAAGTTCCAGTATCGTATTGCACAGTAGGGTGACTACAGTTGACAAAAATGTACTGTACTTTTCAAAACAGCTAGAAAAGGGGATTCTGAATGCTCTTATCACAAAGAAATGATAAATGTTGAAGATAATGGATTTGCTAATTACCCTGATTTGATCATTACATAATGTAAAGGTCTATTGAAACATCACATCGTACCCTAGAAATATATACAATTATTATGTGCCACGTAAAAATAAAATAAAGCCTTGAAAAAAAAAAAGTATTGTTTGTGGCAAGGAACAGATGAATCCAAAACAAGCAGGCAGAGAAGAGGGAAGGAGGCCAGCCCTACAGCAGTGATGGGAGAGGAGCGAGGGAGGCAGTGGGGGCTGTCGCAGGCTGTGTGCAGAGGTTCAGCAGATTTATCTCAATTCGCTTCACCTTGACATTTACTCAGCATTTACTTCCCACATACTGTGCTAGACACAAGTTGGGAGTCTAAGATGAAGAGGATGTGATGCCAGGCTCAGCTACAACCCTTGAACCAAATCCCAGGTCAGCCAGACTCTTCTGTCACTGTCCTGCCTGTTTCTACCTCCAGCTCTTTGCAAAGCTGGTGCCCCTTCATCTCCCACCACCCAAACCTGACTTGCCCTTTAAGGGCAATCCCCAGAGCTCCTGCCTCCTGAAACTTTTCCCAAACACATGAAGGTTCTTGAAGCCTCACTCTGTTTAGTGCTTTTGCTTCTGCTCAATCATAATAATAATGATAGTGATTATGATAGTAACTCTTAACATTTGCCAAATATTTACGATGTGCCAAGTCCTGTATTACAGTCAGTTGTGCCATCCCTCATCTCTCCATTGTCAGGGACACCAGAGCAATCATAGTCACTTGACAGGATGTGAAGGAGGGCTATAGATTATTGGAGAAAAAGGCTTATTTCTTGCTGCTCAGTCTAAGTGGACTTCTCTGTCTCACTTCCCCCAACACACACACACACACACACACACACACACACANGGAGAAAAAGGCTTATTTCTTGCTGCTCAGTCTAAGTGGACTTCTCTGTCTCACTTCCCCCAACACACACACACACACACACACACACACAGAGAGAGAGAGAGAGAGAGAGAGAGAGAGAGAGAGAGAGACATGAGCCAGGGAGCAGAGGATACCACATACGGCAGCAAGGTGAAATGCCCAGGCTCAGGAGTAAATAGATCTGGGTTCAAACACCAGCTCTGCCACCACATGACCTTCAGAAAGTCATTCAGCTGGTCTGAGCCTTTGGTGTGCACTCCTCCAACTGGGGATGACACTGCAAACCTACTTGAGGAGCAGATGATACTAAGTGCCCCATTAATGGTTAATGGTAACTCTTCTCAGAATCCAACATCTAACAGAGCTTATTTCATTTCATTCCTTGATTGATATTGCCAACAGCTTTTCAACATGAAATCACGTGGGAGGCTGAAGAGAATAGGGGCTAAAAGTGATACTTTAAATTCACTTCGGTTTCTTTGCTGTGTGACCTTGGGCAAGTTACATATGCTCTTTCTGACCTCATTTCCTTACCTATAAAATTGGGATAATAGGGACTCACCTCACTGAAGTTCTGTAAGAATTAAATAAGATCATGTATGCAGGGGCTTAGCACAGGGCTCAGCACATCATAAATATTTGGCAAATGTTAGCAGTTACCATTATAATCAACAAAAGCGAAAGGACTAAACAGAGTGAGACTTAAAGAACCTTCAAGTGTTTGGGAACTCTTCATTTTTTTCTTAAATTTCTTACCTTGTATAAACCCCACCATTGTCAGGTAGGCAGTCAGAATCATCTACTTACTTCTACCTTGTGGACCATTTATTCCATGAAGCATTTATTCTGTGTGTTGAACAAAGTGAGTAACTTGATCTCCTTCCTTTTGTAGAACATCAAGAGGAAAATAATGTATGGTGTATATAATAATATTATTTCTTTCTAAATCTGACGGAGCAGGAAGATAACACAACGTTTAACGCAGGCTTGTTGTGGAGCTGTCTGAGTAGAAGATTCCAGGCCATAAAACCAACACCATTTACCCACTTCCTTTGAAGCAAAGTAACTGCTCAACGTAAAGCGGAAAGAATCTTTGGGACAAGTTTATCGCTATGATCAGCCTATTAGTGTAACATGCTGTCATCCTTCCCGCACTATTTACTCAGGCACACTAAGTGCTTCTTGCTTAACCCTGCCCAGTACTCATCAGCTCCAGTGGGGGCTACGTGTTTTTTTGTAGGTTGTTTTCATATAGAATGTGAAGGATACACGATTACCTTGTGCAAGGGACAAAAAGAACACAGTGGTGTCGGTTCCAACAGCTTTCCCCATGTTTTCATTTCCAGCAAATACCATGTCCTTCCATCTTTCACCAGCTCATGTAGGGGAATGAACAAAATGTTCTGCCACGAACTTGTTTCAAAATTTCTACTAGGGCAGCAATTTGAGGGATTCAGCAGGAGAAGCGAGGGGTGTGTTATTCTGGACATGTGTAAGAAGCTTGGAAAACAGAGTCAGAAAATGGGGGCGGTGGGGAGTGGTGGCAGAGATAACTTGGCGGTAAAACAAAAGTGAACCAACAAAAACAACACAACCTAAAAGGGAATTGAGAGGCCAGTGGAGAAAGGGGGCATCAAATTGACAAGTTGGCCAGAAATCTGGACCCTGTAAGGGAGGATTTAGTGCTGGGTCGTGCCCTGGGCTGAATTTATCGCTGCTTTCCTTGTTAACTCGCCTCATGTTTAAAGTCAAAACTGCTATAGGCTCTGAGGGATTTCTATCTTTGTCATTTGTATTATCTGCCTCAAAATACAAACTCCCAAGTAAGGAGAATGATTCCCCTTCTGCCAGGAAGAAGAAAGCAGAGAATTGAGGGATGCCGAAATCAATGTTTAAAGGGTTTGGGTTTGGGGCGGTTCTGGATGAGGCTCCGTGCTCTGAGTGAGTGAGGCGGGGAGGTGGGAGAGGACTGAGTGCTGTGGAAAGGTGGCGGGGACGCAGGTGAGGGCGACACGGGGAAGCGCACGGTCCTGGGGCCCGCAGACGGGACGGAGCCGCCAGGGCCGGTGGTCTGGGCTGGTGGTTGCGGACACCGAGTGGAAAAAGGATTCTACGCTCTGCTCCCGCCCCGGGAGACTAAGAGCCAACCCTACTAAGCAGCCACGTTTTGCCCGTTCCAGGTAAGTAGGAAAGACTGACTCCCGAGCACAGATAATGTTACAAATGAGGTGCGTTGCGAAGCCAGGAAGCACAGCACCCCTTCGCGTCTGGGCAGGCGGGAGCCCAGGAATGCACCCGAAAGGCGGGGAGTCCAGGTCCCCCACCGCTTCTCCAACGCCAGGAGGCCGCAATTTGTAAGGCGAAATTAAAAATGCACCACGCGTCGGCCCGGGGCCTACCGCTGTTTATATAGACATACCACACCGAGGGAGCCGGCCCAACATTCCGCGCAGGGCGCAGAGAAGAGGGGGTGAGGGCGCGGCCGGCCCCTCCCCCGCCGCCTTCCTGCGCCGCAACCTGGACTTGACCCCCGCGAGCCTGGCTCCGCGCGGCCGGGGCCGCCCCGCCGGAGCCGGGCGCTGAGACCGGCGTCCCGGGCCGGCGTCGCCGCGCGCCTGCAGACCCGGGCGACCAGACGCGCCCACCGTCCCGCCCCGCGCAGACCCTACGCCGCAGCGCGGCAGGACCCGAACTGCCCCCGGCGGTGAACTTTTCCGGTGCCTGGACCTTTTGTTTGGTGGGGGGAGGTGGGTGCAGCGCTTGGTGGGGGTGAGGGGAGCAGAGAGAGTTTGATCCCCATGTGTTGAGCTGCAAAAGAGCAGGGACAACTCCAGGGCCGGCGTTCAGAGCCGAGAATGGAAGCTGCGCACGCCCCAGGTCGGATGCGACTCGGAGGTCCTTGGGCCTCAGCGGCTGGGTGACGCGGGGCAAGTCTCGGCAGTTCTGGGGGCCTTAAAGTCTTAACTGTAAACCCTGGGCACGCGGCTCGCTCCTTTCCCAGGTCCTCTCCAGCCCTAACCTTCTGTGATTCTAAACCTGTATGATTTGTCTCATATTTACCAAGGCTCGTAGCAAAAAGAAAAAAGACTCCATAACGATTTAATAGAAATTAGCTAAAGCACAGCTCTAGAGAGAGACACACAAACAAAAGTTTCAAGTAACCCGGAACACTAGAACCCAGTGAAATTCACCTTTAGAGAATTACTAAACTTTAGAGATTATGTATTTCTTTTTTTAATAACAAAGATTATTGATTAGATTTAGTGCTGAAAAAACAGCAACGTGCGCTTCGGTCATTTATCTTATGGAGGAAACATAAATCTATAAATCCTCCTCCTGTTTCTAAGAAATAAAACTCTCTTCATTTCCAAAATATGCAGATCCTCCAAAGGCATATTCTTTTTTCTTTCTAAATCTTTGCTCTTAGCCTCCTAAAACCACTGGCCTTCTTTTCTTAAAATTTATGTGATCTTTAAATAAAGGGAGAAAGAAAAAAGCCCCATTCTGCAGTTGCAGTCTGAAAAAGCTATGTCCAGGAAGAGATATTTAGATTTTCTTTTGAGAGAGCTTTTAATCTGAAACAAAATGATTTTTCATCTCCTAAAAATGTGTGCAAAATAATTTATAAAATGTTACGCAAATTTACAATATGATTCTTAAAGTATCTCCGGAAAGAGCAATATACAATCTTCTAATTATACCAAGCAATGTATTACATGCGGATGGTTGATTCAGTGGCGGGCTAATCTCACTTCCCCACATCCCCCAAAACAGTAACAACAAGGATTATATTTCTGACATCCATAGTTTTAAAAATAATGAGTGGAAAAGTGATTGATTTGAACTCTTAATTATTACCAAAGCAAGGTAATAAGGTGTTCTGTGATTATGCAATGTCCCAAGTGCAAAAGCTCATTTCAGTGAACAGCCTCCTGGGTGATCTTCCAAAGTGCCCAAAGGACATCTTCTGCCTAGCTCAGGGTCACCTCCTCCACCTCACTCCTGCCCTCCTGTAGTGCCCCCTCTCTAATCAGCACAGTCCCACTCTGGCCTCAGACAGGCAGGAGTCAAGGGAGACACAGAACTGCACAGACTCCTCCCCCAGCTTCCCAGGGACAGTCCTTGCAGTGAGAGAGTTTGTTGTGCTGACCTTGTGAGCGAGTGACCCACAGAGAAGGACACTGTGTGCGGTCACTGAAGTTTTCTGACCTCATTTGTCTGCGTCGGTATCAATAAGTCGGCCAGGGGGAGAGGAGAGAGGAAGTGGAGAAGGACAATTATGAGGACATGCAGGACAAGGGACTGCGTGCAGCTGCTCTGCTGACGAGGAATGGTTGGAGCTGTGTTTCCTTGAAGAAATTGTTTTAAATTGAAGGTGGGCCTGGTGTTCACAGCAGTCCGACCAACCTCTCCGCTCACTTCCCCACCATGATCTCAGCCTCCTCTCTCCTCGGAAAGCCCCTATGCCAGGGCAGCACTTTGTGCCCAGGACACAGACTCCAGGGCCAGATGACCTGGGTTTCAATCCAGTTTCGTCACCTGCAAAATGGAAATGATAGTAGTTCCAGCTTGTAATAGTGTGTGAGGTTGAACCAAGTTATCACAGCCTGAGAAGTGTGCCTAACACTGCATGAAGCTTTCTAGATGCTTCCTTCCAGGGTTTTGTTCAGGTTTCCTCTCTTAGCTGGAGGGCTGCCAGCTTTACTCACTAGTCACTGCTGCTTCAAGCTGCTCTGAGCAAGGATCAAACCTTGGCTTCTCCGGAAAGCAAGGGTGTGTTATTAGATTTGCCTTTGAAAAGATCTCATGGGGAATCTAAGGTGTAGAAGACTCCCGAACAGTCCTTACTAGGAAGGCTGCCTCTTATTGAACCCAACTCAATAAATGCCAATTTGTACACTATTCCATTTCATACTTACACTGGGTAAGTATTTTTACGCTATTTTATAATGAAGAAAGAAGGACTAAAAGAGGTAAATGATGTTCCCCTGGTTGTACAACTAGGATCAGAGCACAACAATAATAAATAACATTAACTCAATGGCTGATATGTGCAAGGTATTGAATGCCTTGTCACATCTCCCTTCATGTAATGCTCACAGCAACCCTGGGAGCCGAATACTATTATTCTCCCTGCTTTACAGCTGAGGAACTGAGCCAGAGAGTCCTTATTACCCCAAACCCTGCAAGTAGAAAGTGGTAGAACTGCATTTGAGTGCAGGCCTGCTGGCTCCCAGCCCACAGACCCAACCCCAGTACATGCTCGCTGTGCTCATCTGCCCACCAGTGACCAGAAAGCCCCAGCCACACCGACCTCACTGCCCCGGCTGCAGTCACCATCCAGAAAGTCCTTGAGAACCGCAGATCCCAGTTCCATGAGAAACAAAAACGACCACGTCTGCCTTGTGCCTACTTGAATTTTCAAGACAGAATGAATGTTGTTGTTTTTTGTTTCTAGGAATCGTAGTATCACATCTATGTATTGAGAAAAGGTGGCTTTTTCCTTGCAAGGGATTTTTTCCCCCTCCTGAATATTTAGGAATAGGTGACCCTCAAAACTTTCCACCCAGCCTGAGCTGGCTCAGATGTGGAAGTGCTGGGACCACGTAGAATCTTCTACAAGGCCCTGGAAAAAGAAGTTCCTGTGACCAGCTGGCCAGGGGAGAAGGGAGAGGCACACAGCCCTCCTGAGCAGGCAGAGATCTAGCCCCGCCCCACCACCCACTTGAGCTGCAAGCTCAGCCTCAGCTTCAGTTCCTCACTAGCTTTTCTGCACCTTGACCTTAAACTCTCTCAAGTCCATGTAAAACCTTGCCAACCAGAGCTTCCTGTTGCTCTTTTGCAAAGTGAGACATTCACATGTCTTTTTTTCCTCTACACCAAACAGGCTTCTATTTAGAAGTTATTTAAAGCATTAAAGGTAAAAATTCAACCCTTTCACCCTGCCAAAGGTATTTTTCCAGAGTTGAAATAAGCAAATCTTTTGGCAACAATTTGATAAGGTAAAATGAATTTCCTTTTGGAATTGGTCGATAAGTGTGATTTCTCGTCTTTTCATTTTATTATGAATATGTTGGAAAGTTGAGAAGGCCTTGGTTTATCCACACAGCCCACACAGTTACAGAGGAAGCACTGAGAAGTTACGTAACATGCCGAGAGTTACACAGCGGTGAAGTTATGGAGCTGAGATGTAAACTCAGGCATTCTATATCCACAGACCATATTCTTAATCACCACGGAATGCTGTGTTTCTTGCAGTATTTTGAATTTAAGTGGGTGATTAATATCTCAGTAGGAGTGAAACAGAAAACACAGGCAGTACGAAGGAGTTTTCAGAGGAAAGCTTCTGATGCCAGGCTGCCTGGTCCAGTCCCGACTCCGTGCTTGTTCAATGTGCAGCCT